ATAATATAAAATACAAAAATTAATTTATAAATTTCTATGTATAGTAAATTGCGCCCTGTATAGATATTATTTTTATGATAGCTATTTAGCATTTTTCAGAGGACACCATGACATACGAGGAAGTAACTATCATTATCCTACAAAAATTATTTTTTTGTTTATTTAAATGGAAAACTTAATTTTTTTTAATAAAATTAAATATATATATTGAGATGTTAAAAATAGTCTTTATACTGCTAAAAATAGTACTTGTATCCATTTTCTGTTGTGTTGCACTGTTGCAAGCAAACGTCTTTAAATAATAATAATAATATTCCAAATGCTATACGGATGAGTTTACATAGGCAGGTGTAAGACGTACTTAAGTACCTCATATTCGCTTACTCGTCAACCGGACCCGGACGTTCAGTACTACAGGAAACGACACGAATTTTTTTCGCTAGAATATAATTATGGTTTATTGCTTATAATTAGGGCAGAGAAGTTATAGGAGGTAAAATTGGAAAAATATGCATGCAAATATGCACATAAAAATTGAAAATATGCATTCAAATTCATTAAATATGCAAGATAATATGCACAAAAAAATTAAATTATAATTTAGTAAAAATTAATTTAGATATAAAAGAAATATAAAAATCATTGCATTGCACAACTAATGTTTTTTTATATTTTCTACGTCGAATGATCGCCGATTGTCAGCCAGTATGGTTTTGTACGGTGCGAGTCATTTGGTAGATGGCCATTTGGTCGAAGGTTTAGTGATCGAAAAAAAGCGATCGAAATGTCATGTGATCGAATCTTTTTTTGGTCGAAAAACAGATGATCGAATATTTTATTAATATAGTCGAAATATTTTGTGGTCGAATGGGTTTTTTGGTCGACGTAAAGATAATGATTATCTTTTCGATTACTTTATCTAGTATTTTTATTGATGTACCTAGCCCATATGAAGGTATATATAACGAGAAATGATTTAACATTTTATAAATATGCACCAGTAACATTAACAGACGTCGAAAGAAGTTTTTCAAGGTACAAAACCGGGTGGGGATTGTCTGGCCGAAAATCTAGTGACCGAAACCCGGTTTTGTACCTTGAAAAACTTCTTTCGACGTCTGTTAATGTTACTGGTGCATATTTATAAAATGTTAAATCATTTCTCGTTAGGTCTTCTGGTAAACCATCCATCGATGTGTATTATAAGTTATAATACACGATAATATAACAATATAATATTCCACCATAATCGTAGGGGGACAGCCACCCAAAACTTGTAATAGCCCCCTCAAAATAAATTATTCAATTATTTTATAAAATATTAACTAATCTATAAAAATTAAAATGTATTTCTTAATTTTTTTTAGATTCTGAGTAAAACGATGAATGTATTGATTTTACAATGATGTGTGGATTTAATTTTTAATTTTTGTGTCTGTCTTCCCAGTTTGGGGCAGTAAAACTGCTTCTATTATCTTCAACAGTATCTTGTTCGATGGGAAAGTGAATCTAGTTGGTGCATTCGGGAGATCAAATTTTAAAATTCAAAATAGTTTTCAAAATTGCCGTTAAAAAAAACATAAAAATTTAGGAAAAACTGGAATATTTACGCAAAATCGGTTTTCCACAAAATCGATTTTGGTTTTTGTTGTAACTCTAAATCAAATGAACGTATAAATATGCAATTTCCACGGATTGTTTATATTTGTATTTTCTATACACGATAACATTTTTTAATATTTAGATTTGTTTAAGAACATTTTCAGTTTCCAATTTTTTTTTTTTTTTTTCTATGAGTGTCAATAAAATTGTATTCATTGGGTAAAAAGCTTGAAAATTCAATACAAAGATCCTATTATATTGTTACTATGACATTTGAAAAATATTAAGAATCCTTAGTCACAGTTTTTTTTTATAAGCATTTAAAGTTCAAATTATATTGATAAAATACTGAAAAATCACGAAAATTAGGAAATTATTTTGAGTTGAGAACTCATAACGTTTTGGCTTTTTAAATCTTAGATTTGAAAACGTAATACGAGATTATTGATAAGTTTGTCTACCTTTATCAAAAAAATAATTTCTAAAAGCAAATCAAATAAAATTTTAATGCCCGTTTGAAGTTCATATTTTTACAATATTGGATATTTACTCTATTTCTCATGTAGCGGTTTTAAACTGGTTTAAATTTAATGTATGAGGGCATAAGACAGCTCATAATAATGTATTTATATAAAGTATGAATTAAAAGAAAATAGTAAGTTAATCCTTTGAGTGTCATAGACGCATATTTACGTCCACCATAAAACAAAGGGTTAAGCATAAGTAAATACAATAATTTGTAATTTGTAATTCAAAATTTTTGTTCATCAGTAAAATAACATTTTTAGTTGTATTAATAGTAGAAACTTAAAACATATCTGTTCAGTTATAATTTCCTATACTCAGATGATATTTTCAAAATATTTAAGCTAGTGTTGAGCCTTGTATAACCGAGTATAAACGTTCGAAGTATTTTAATAAACAGATTTGCCACTATTTTATAATTTGACATAATATATTTATTATAAATAGCCAATAAGTAATTTACCTGGAACATTATCACAACTAACAAAACTTAATCTACAATTGTTAATTATAAAAAAAAATAATAACTATGCCATAGGTCATCGTCAGTGGCAAGTCTTAAGTTTCTACGATAAATCTAATTTGATTATTTTTGATATTTATACTCAAACAAATCAGCTCCGTTTCGCCAGCACTTCCACTTTCGAATTTTAATACCAAAAGTTGACAGTACTATGTACTATTTTATGTACAATTTTGTACAAGCAAAATAAAATTTCGTCCCCCCCCCCCCCCCAAAACACGAGAAAAATGTTTTTGCCATGCGCGTGCTGGAGAAACGTTTCCCCAGTACTTTCTTTGCCAAAAGTTTAACTAATTCAACTTTCAATGGTACAGTATTATGTTCTATTTTTTTACAATTTTGTACAAGTAAGATAACATTTCAAAATATACCTTTATTGTAAAGTATATATTCTTCCTTGTTAATATTAAAAAAGAAAAATATTTTGACTTATTTTGAGTTCTTTACTAACATTTTCAGTTTCAATTATTTTAGTTTTTTTATTCTAAATATCAATAAAATTGTATTTGTTGGTTAAAAAACTTGAAAATTTAAAAGATTTATCCTAGTATATTAGTATATAAATTTTTATGAGTGTTTTAAGTTCATAATTTTACAACATTTTTTATTCACTCGATTTCTCATTTAACGTTTTTCTTATTTTGTTGTAATTAAAAAACGAATGATTGTGGATAATTGAAAATTTCACTGATTGTTTATATTAGAATTTTCTATACACCATACAATTTTGAAAATAATTTGACTCGTTTTGAACAGTTTACGGAAATTGTCAGTTTTCAATATTTTTAGGTTTTTTTCTATAAATATCAATACAATTTTATTTAATGGGTAAAAAAGCGTGAAAATATTATGCAAAGCTATATTAAATACAAAGGCATAATTTTTTTTATAAGCATTTAAAATTCAAATGTTGACAACATTTATCACATTTAAAATTTAATAATAATTTTATAGATCAACTTTTATAGCTAAGGATTGAAAATTTAAAAATGATTCCACGTAAATATGTTATACATAAATTACTTTATTTACCTTAATATCGACAAATACACTTCGTAATATCATAGGTTCAGAATCGTTTACACCAACCATTACAGTGACCCACTTGTAACCTACTCTACAACAGAGCGAATTTTTTTGTTTGTTCATTATCATCCTTTAATTGTCTCTTCATTGAACTAAATACTTTTTTGACATTTTAAATTATCAAAAATAATATTATAAAAATTACAAATAGAATAAATACGACTGACACACTTTATCACGTAACTACGCAAGACAATATAACGTCATTAGTAATATTACGACGATAATAACTGCAATTATAGATTTGGTTGTCGGCAAAGTTAATTAAGGTTATTTTTTATTCGTTTCTATGGTGATAAACAAAGCGTTCGAAATGAAAATCCCATTTTTAGTTTTTTTTCTTAATTTTTCGGTTTGTTTTCCCGTGGCATTAAATAACTATTGAGAAAATCGAAAAATGACCTGTCTAAAGTACCATCTTGATCTTTTAAATTCAAAAAGAATAAACGTGTTTTATATATTTTATGAGATTTTTTGTAGGCAAGTACTTGTTAAAATCTAAATATTTTTAAAAATTTAGTACTATTCAAATTAATGAAAAAATTAATTATAACTAAAAAATCTTAAAACATAAACCTCTTTACTTAAAAAAAGGTTTTTCCAGCAACATTTTTCAAAAGCCAGCTTTATAAATTGGCTATTTTGAACTTTTCAAGAAATATTTACAACAGATTTAAAATTTTCTATTTAAAAATAAAAAAATGTTATATTATACTTAGATGTAACGGAAACGTCAATAAATAATACAAAAAAAAAAAAAAAAATAGTGATTAGAACTAAAGTTATTTAATTAACATTCAGATCTTTCTGTTACACTATGTACCTATATTATATAATATGTTATTGAGTAAGACATAATTATTATCTATTGTCGGCAGTGGGTATTTATAACTCGTTGAACCTAAATAATTCTTCTGTTTTCACTTTTGCTGCGAACCAATTGGAAATTATGAGTAGCTATCTATGATTACATCTGTATAGGTTTATCTGTTGGTAAATAAAAAAATCTCTGTAATATTTTATTAAAAGTATATTAAGTGTATAATGATGTGTCAAATATTATTATATAATATAATATAATATCTCCTCAAAACGACGGTAGGTACACATAATATCATAATACAATATGGTAATATACAGCATTAGACAATAACTACTATAGGTTAAAACTGTATGAATATAATATAAAATGTATATCTAATGCACATTATACATGGCATATCTGCGGTTTCTACAAAGTTGCCTTGGTAAAGACTCGCGGGTCTTAGTTTTCCTGACGGTGGTTGTGGTTTTGGCGATCGGGTCGATGTTGGTCGTGGTAGTTGTAGTGGTTGTGGTCATCGTCTGCGTGGTCTTCAAAACCTTTTTTAAATCCGTCAGAAGGTACGACGGATTTAACGTATGCGATTGTAGTTAGGCATGGGTTCGTTCTGATGCAGTCGGCGGTGGCGACTTTGGTCGTGGAGGCCGTGGTCGTCGTTGTCTCTACAGTGGTCATCGACCTAGCCCTGGTCTCGACGACCTTTGTGGTAGTTGTGGTCGTGACCGTGGTCTTGACTACTGCACGTCTCTGAGATGTCATTGGAGACAAGTGCTCCCTCACTACACGAAATACTTTAGACGTGCCAGTTCTCAAACTAGCGGCTAATCGCTGATAAACTTGACGCCTTTGGGTACCATCGATTTCCGGCATTTTCTGTAACAAAAACGGTATTATACTATAGTAATTATTGTAATAATAATCTCGACAAAAATACTAAGAGTAATAAACATCGCTAAGAAAAAAAAACTCAAGTTTGAAAAATTGTAGTATATAAAAAGAGCTGAATTTAAATTCACAAGTATAGAAATCGTTTAGAATTGTTTGATGAAGAGCTATAATTTAATACAAATAATTCAACTTGGCTTGGCGACTACTTATAGTACGTACTTACTTGTAAAAATATGGCCAATGTGGATTGGGTATTATATTGTTTTATATTTTTATTGACAATTGTATATAATACTATTGAATAATTTTATATTTTCGTTAAATCCTTTATAATGAAAATAAATATTATGTTTATATCGTACTCAAAAAAAAAGGCAAGTGTCCAGTATCCATATCAAAAAAAGTGGACGTCATGGTACGCTAGACATATGGGAAACATCAAAATTATATTGCATAGAAAATAGAAATTATGCATGACAATTATTGAAAGGATGATTTATTCAGTAATGTAAATCGGAAGTATTATTTTAAAGTAGGTAATTTATCGGTAATGTAATAAATATAAATTTCTTTACCACTTTACGCGTAATTAAATTTTTTTAATTTTTGTACTCACATTAAATCATATGACATATTTTGATATTTACTTATTGCTTTATTAAATTGAAATGTTTCAAATTAAGTTCAGAGTACAATATGTAGCCATAGGTTATAGCGTTATGGGTATTTTATAATAATTAAATTAATCCTAACGCGGTTTTTCCTCTGGCTCGCTAACACGGAAGAAAGGTATTTTATAATTTTAATAATATTAAATTTTTTTTTAATTGTTTTCATTTAAGGTCTTGCTAAATGCTAACTGTACAATTTTAGTACGTACCACAGCAAACGGTACAGCTATAAATAAGTATATTATACAAAATACTTAGTCAATATGGGAGATAGGCTAATATTATATTATATATTTAAATTAGAAAGAAAAAATAAAAGTTAAACGATTAATTTTAAATGGCACAATGTGTTTGTCTATAGAAATTACAACCACATTCCAATGTCAACATGCCTTCAACAAAAATTCCTAATCGATAAATTGTTTGTCATTAAGAAATCGAAAAAAATAATCGTTTCTGATAAAAATGTCAAATCTACAATGAGTTATACAATATTACACTACTATTATAGTTAATTGCATTATTTTAAATCTTATCGCCTACGACATGACGTGTACTCTACTAATAACAATAATGTACATATATATATATATTTAATACATAATTAATACTTAAAAATGATCAGCTAACATTTTGAAAGCAACAATCGAAAAACTGAAATGACTCATCTGCAAACATAAAATATTATTATAATGACTACCGTACGAATCGTAATTGAGTTGTTTACCGAAATAACGAATTTACGATGGTATTTTTTTTGGTATAGTAATAATATATTTTATTACAGTTTTGAGCAGCGTCTATAATGTTAAACCTGAAGAAATGCAAAAAAGGCCTAATCCGAAAACCTAAACAAATTATATTTTTTAATAAAATATAATACCGTTAATGGCTGAATATGACACCATCTAAGTCGAAGTTAAAATAATATATTAATAATATAGTTGGGGTGATCAACGATTGTCGATGCTCAAAACAAACATATTAATTTTAAAAGATACCTATTTAAATTATATCAAAAAATAAACTAAAAAAAATTAAAATTAAAATTTACAAACGCCATAAGTAGCTGTAGTACGTATTATAAAATATTTATTTATATTTTATTATAGTATTTTATTTTTACACGTGTTGTTTTCTAGTATAATAATAATAATAGGCAATAATTATAGTACAACAAATTAATGATGATTTCAATAACAGCTATGACATTATCAAAATAATAGTATTATCGTATTATACTTACGAATTGTCAAGGTGAAATGGCGCGTACCATCACTTCGGACCGCCGAATTCCGGAGGGAAAAAAATTAAATGAGCTATAACACACGCACAGTAAAAAACATTATTAATTTATTAATTTTTATTAAATATAATTTAATATTATACGTAAACTATATTGAAAGAAGTGTAACGAATACTTTAACTTAACGTTTTTATTGAAAAATAAATCAAAATCGGATAAAATATGTTGAACAACATTGAAACTAAAAATTATGATTACTAAATGTGGTAAAAAAAAGTAGGTGATTAATCTAAGGACCTCGAAAACAATGTCACCTACAAGTTCAGGACAGCTTATAGAACCATTATAAATAAAGAATCGATATAATTGAGTATTGTACACGGAGGTGGGATATTCTATAACATAAAATAAAATATCGTTATAATGACCGAATGATGACACCGTTATAATGAAACCATCCTAGTCGGAGTTATAATAATATAGTTTGGGCGATAAACGGTTGTTGAAACTCAAAACAAACGTTTTAGTTTTAAAAGATACCTACTTAAATAATATCAAAAAAATTAAAATTCATTAGAAAACAATACGTTTAAAAATAATTAAAATTAAAATTTACAAACGACATAGGTAGCTGTTGGTATACGTATTATAAAATATTATTGTATTTACAATAATTATCATGTTTTATATGTACAAATGTGGTTTTCTAACATAATAATAATAATACAGGAGGACGAGGTGGCCGAGCGGTCTAACGCATCGGCTGCGGCGCTGCCGGTTCGGGTTCGATCCTCGACCATTTGGCGGCATTTTTTCCGGGCAATTCACGGTGTCCGGAAAACAAGTGCCGCCATCCCCCACTCCGGGGCATGGCAGAAAAATACGGGTGCCCCATTCGAAATTCTGCCAAAAACACAAACACTCACGTGTTAACCCACACCAACAAAAAACCCTACCATCACAACCTTACAACCTACCAACAGCTAATGGCCATAGATGCCGGGCTTAAGGATCAATAAAAAAAAAAAAAAATTAAAATTAAAATTTACAAACGCCATAAGTAGCTGTAGGTATACGTATTATAAAATATTTATTTATATTTTATTATAGAATTTTATTTTTACACGTGTTTTTTTCTAGTATAATAATAATAATAAGCAATAATAGTACAACAAGTAAATGCTGATTTCAATTACAGCTATGGCATTATCAAAATAATAGTATTATCGTATTATACTTACGAATTGTCAAGGTGAAATGGCGCGTAACTTCACTTCGGACCGCCGAATTCCGGAGGGAAAAAAATTGAATGAGCTATAACACACGCACAGTAAAAAACATTATTAATTTATTCATTTTTATTAAATATGACGCCTGCGAAGGCATAGAGTACGGTACAATATTACAAATAATTTAATATTATACGTAAACTATATTGAAAGAAGTGTAACGAATACTTTAACTTCACGTTTTTATTGAAAAATAAATCAAAATCGGATAAAATATGTTGAACAACATTGAAACTAAAAATTATGATTACTAAATGTGGTAAAGAAAATTAGGTGATTAATCTAGGGACCTCGAAACCAATGTCACCTATAAGTTCAGGACAGTTTATAGCAGTTTATAGTACAGGACAGTTACCCGATTGCGACCCGAATTCAGGTAGTCGTATTTTATCCCAAACATACGTATCCCGATTGCGTCGAAAGACACATTGGTTCACAAAATACCTTGTAATTAATATATAATATATAATGATATGTTTAATCACCAAATAATAAAGGATTTCAAAATTATTATGAAACAAGTATAAAGTATAAAATTTATTTAAATACATGGCAAGTATATTTTGTATTTTAAATACTTTCTGAATGGATGTATTTGTATACAATTTTAAAAGTATATATATACAAATAGTCAAATATTAAAATAATAAATTGTTTACAATAAAAAAAAAAGACATGAAATAAAATTAATTCGTCAATAAATAGGTACCTAGTTGAATATTAAAATAATAAATTGTTTACAATAAAAAAATATGTAAAATACAAATAATATGTCAATGAATAGTAAAATAATTATAGTGTTAGAGGCAGATTTTTAAAACTTATTATTTTTACAATATTTATAACATAAAATATAATATCGTTATAATGACCGAATGATGACACCGTTATAATGACACCGTCCTAGTCGGAGTTATAATAATATAGTTGGGGCGATAATCGGTTGTTGATACTCAAAACAAACATTTTAGTTTTAAAAGATACCTACTTAAATAATATCAAAAAAATTAAAATTCATTAGAAAACCATACGTTTAAAAACAATTCAAATTAAAATTTACAAACGCCATAAGTAGCTGTTGGTATACGTATTATAAAATATTATTGTATTTACTATTATCGTGTTTTATATGTACAAGTGTGGTTTTCTAACATAATAATAATAATAATAATAATAATACAACAAATAGGTGCGGATTACAATAACAGCTATGACATTATCAAAATAATACTAATATCCTATTATACTTACGAGTTGCGAAGACGAAATGGTGTAGCTTCACTTCGGACTACTCGAGAGTCGGAAAGAAAAAATCGAATGAGCTAGTTATCAGAGTACCACGGATAACGTGTTCTGCAACTGCGCCACTGCGTATTCATTGTGGTACGCATGCGCGGCGAGAGGGTCGCTATTATGTTTCGATTGGACATCCGTTCGAACCCATATGCTGGACACAAAAGGTTGTCCGAGTTCGGTATAACAATATAATTGTAATACATATTATTATTATATCTATAGAAATATAGAATAATGTAGTCGATATTTTTCGACAGGCACCGAACGGGCAAATAACTGTACGGTATATACTCTCAGGGGTTCTTAAACTTTTTTTTGATCATCTGAAAACACATTTATCATATTTAGTGCCGATGAATACACTTTAGTTGCATTAAATATTAAGAAAATGTACCTACCTACTGTTGATATAAAAAATAATAAAATTTCACTACGAAAAAACTAATCGGTGTGATCAATCATACACTACGTTTACAATGT